CAAGCCCCTGCTAAATGCTGTGGTTTAAGATGAATGAGTGCATTGGTACTTTGAAGGTCACTGAAGACTGAAATGCAAGCAATGCTGTAATGGCCGTATTGCAAAGAGAAAACACAGATGACTGTAATATGTGTACATTCATTAAACATATTCAAAACATCAATAAATGACAGAGAACGAATGAGGTAAAAGAGAGTGGACACATAAAAGGTACAGAGAACAACAAACAACTTCTGTTCATCTAAAACTTAATAAAAGCAGTATGTCACAGTACAGGAGTTCATAAAAACGTAACTGGAAATGCTATTTTATTGTATGTACTGCCCGCTGTGTACAATAAAGGTTGGGATTCATGCATCGCACACGTGCCCCTATTTTATACCAGGAACATCTTTAAATACGACCACAATTGAGTTACACGAGGATAAAATCGTGCCTCCCGGTGGGGGGTCTTCAGCTAACAGGAATCTGCAGGGATGATGACCTCCATATGTAGGGGGGGGCGGGGGGGGGGGGGGGGGGGGGAGTGTTAAAGTCCCAGTTGAGAGCATTAAATAGTACATGTTTTATATTTTTTAAGTCACAGTAACCTCAGAGATTCTTCTGTACTCGTTATATACAAATTCGGAAAGTATACATCTGCCTTTTCTTTACTTGTTTTTCTGTTTTAATCATGTTGACTTGCAAAGGTAATCCTTCGGTGTCTTAGAAGCATATAAATACTTGGAGGCTCTTCCCGCTTAATTTCCACTGACACCACCAATATTTGAAACCAAATTACAGTCAATTCCGCATTTAATTTCTCCTTTCGACTTATGTCATTCCAGGGAGAGGCTTATGATTATTGCTGCTGCCCACACAAAATGCAGAATAAATGGTTTACAGTAATCCCATGATGCAAGGACGCGTGTCAATAATGCTTTGTTTTAAGACAATAATGCTTTGTTTTAAGACAATAATGCTTCAAGTCAGAAACACAGGCACAGAAATACATCAACTGCACTTTTCCGAAATACAAAAGAACAGATAAATATTGATCAAAACGTATTAAATGTCTCATTCCGACATAAAAAGTTTATTATTAGAATTGCATGAATTGGACTAAATCTGATTGTTTTATTTGCGTATGGTTTCAGCATTTATAGTCTAATGCTAAAACAGAGATGGGTTGTGGGATAGAGGGAATGCTAGATTTTATTCTTAATTTTTTTTTTCATTTAACTACAGGCTGAATTAACCGTCAGATTCAAACTTGATAAAACTGAAGGTATTAGATAAAGCTACATGTTTTTATTTGCCTGGTGCATGTATTACAGTTGTGATTAATACAAATGTTTTGAGAAATGCAAGCCTTTACAATTGTCACCATTTATGAATAATAGGAAATGTCTGTTGTTGTAAACAGCTAATGATTTGTCATTCGGGTCAGGTCAGGTTGGGGAGTAGGTACTGGTATAGCGGGTTGCTGCCACACGATGAAACACCATGAGATCTCAGTTGGTGACCCCCCCCAAGCTGACACATGGTCCAGTCCCACCCTCCGGGAGTGCCCATGTATCTACCACGGCTAGGTGTTAGGGGGGTGTCGGCGATGAAGACCCTGCCAGCTGGATCTCCCTCAGGGAAACGAACCACATGGCCATTGTGCCGTAACTGGCGCTCCCTCAGCGGTACCCAATGATTCTCCGAAGAGACACAGTACCAAAGGAATCCCGTCCTCGACTTAGGTCACTGGATAGTATCCGTTTCTCGCACCCACACAGCAAGACAAGAAGCACCAGGACTCTAAAAACTTGGACCATCGGGAACACCACACACCCCTTTCCAGTGACCTCCCATGCTCTCCCAATCCGTCTACTTCGTAAGAGTCATCAGAAACATGAATGTCGCTGCAGAGGTAAGTGAACCTCTCAATGACATTCTCTCCATAGACAGACATACTGCTGACGGCTGTACCCAGGAGGTCATTAAAGACCTGGACCTTGGTTTTGACCCAGGCCACTCGCAAACCCAAACACTCACACTTAAGGATGACCGTAGCAAGGACCTTACCCGGCACTGAGAGCACTGTTATCCCCCTGCAGTTGCCACAATCCAGGCGATTACCCTTCCCTTTCCAGATAGGGACTATAAGTCTCGTTTTCCAGTCAGTTGGGATGATGCCTGAGTCCCAAATGGAAGCAAAGATTGCCTGCAATGCCGGGGAACAGCCTCACCAACAGCCTGGAGAAGATACCGCAGATTCCAGCTGCCTTCCCTACCCTCAGCTGATTCACCACCCATGCAATCTCAGTGAGATTGGGTGATTCGGAGCTGACCAGCCTCAAGAACTGTAGACCCAGAGATGTCTGAAGTCCTAGCTGGAGGGTCAGCTTTAAACAGCTGCTCAAAGTAGCCAGTCCAGCAGATCACAACTGCAACGCCATTCATAAGGACCTTTCCATCACCCAACTTGAGCGTGACTCTCCGAGGAATAGATTCAGATGCAATGCACTAAACCACCACTGCCTCTTGCTAAGGATTAAATAATGGTTCTCAGTAACAAATGTAAATGTGGTGTTTTTTTTAGCTGTTACGTACTACAAATTTATCACGGAATGATAAGAATTAAATCACGTCTTCAGCGAATACCTCCGTTTTGACTTTGCGCAAAGTCATTCGGCCGGCAGCTAACCAAGGCTAATTAATGAAGGGCTCATCGGGCTTGTAAACCAGGCTGCCCTCCGACCCAGGGGGGCCTGGAATTACCAGCCCATACTTTATAAGTATTACGGTAAATGTAATAAACTGCTTTATTGAAAGAACTCCAGTGTAGACCCATCACGTCCGGAAAGAGGAGGTACTATAGTACCTCCAGGGGGCACTCATATGTCGAGGGTAAACCTTATTTTTAAGATAATGGGTAGATGTTCCTGAAGCACATATAGATGTGAGGGTAGGGAGCCAGACAACAGAGCTCCCCCCATGTCACACTGCATCTGTGGGAAGTCATCACATCCATGCGTGTGGCATCCGATTCGGGTAGAAGACGTGCTGTTGGGTGGGAAGCTGCTACATACCATAAAGGAGGTAAATCCTGGAGAAATCAATCCTTGTTGCAGATGTGACCGCAGCCAGGAAACTGCACAGCTACAGACACCTTAATGTACTTTTCTCAACTCCAACTGTCATTGATTTGAGATTATTTATTGGGCTGAAGCCTCAGTTGACTGGTTTGCTCGGTTCATTTGGTCCATTCCTGCTCAGGTACAGGTGGTACATGCCTGATATTAATACCCCATAACATCCATGCACTTCCTATTAGTGCTTGACAGGACGCCTGTCGCAGGAGGCACAGAGCACATGACAAGTTTTTGGGCTGTACCTGGAAGAAACCCGCATGAACGTGAAGAGATTACGTAAACTCCACACACACACACACACGGCCCTGGGGGTGTGAGGCTACAATGCAGCCCGCTGAGCCACTGAGCCACTAAACCCACCACACCATGCAAACCGTCTTTTACTCAGGAAATAAAGTCTTTTATTGTACGCATAACTGCGGTGCTTCTTTAAAGGCATGACATTATATAACTGCGGCAGTGTAGGGTGCTTTTTCAATACAAATTACACCAGTGTTTCCCAGTATTTATAAACATTAGAGCTTGTGACAGCTACATGGGACAGCAGGTAGCATAATGGGGTTGATGAGTTATCGGAAGGTCGTCGGTTCAAATCCCAGGGTTATGCGAGTGATTTCATTGTTGGGTCCTGAGCCCCATCTGCTCCCGGCACTGGCTGACGGTACTTTCTCAGTTATACGTTGCTTTAAGATAAAACCGTCTGCCAAGGAAATTATTGTTAAGGACAAACCACAACATGAAGGCTGCTGTTTCCTGCCCATGTATTTCTGTATATAAGTTTGTACTGTATGTAACCCTGATATGCCCATATGCGTTTGTTTGTTTAGCTGTAGGATGTAACAGTGTGGAGGGCAGAGGGGCAGGCAGGATGTGGGTGAGGGATGCTGGGAGTGGGGATTCGATAGGCTGCACAGGGGCCTTGATGTGGGATGCTCTCCAGCACATAATCACTAAATAAAGAAGCCCAAGTTGTTCCCCAGTTGGCAGCAATAGACACAAACTCTCTCCAGCCATTACTGTGGGTCATCCAGGCCACTTGTTAACCTCCTTTGGCTGATCTCAGCCCAGTCCTAATGGAATACATACCATCTGTTCCCAGGTAAGACAGTGGTACACTCATGCGGTCATTAGCACAGAAGCAGCAGGGTGGGTGTGCACTATGCATGATGCTGTGTGCACACTGCTCTGTGCATGATGCTGTGTGCACACTGCTCTGTGCATGATGCTGTGTGCACACTGCTCTGTGCATGATGCTGTGTG